TCCTGACTTCCTAGGCTTTAATTTGGACATATAGATCGTGTTGTTTGGAGTTTAGAGTTTTTTTCTATTAATTTTTGAAGTTCACACTTAAAATATATATTTTATATTTAAGGTTTTTATTGAGGGCTTTTATTATAATTGCTTGTGGTAGCCTTAGCCCATTTATTTCTATTTTCATTTAAGACAAGTATATATAGGAGTCAAAAGGTTGACTTCAGGCTCCTCTCCCTTTCATAATTTTGGATTTTGTAAAACTTTTTCCCGCTTTTGAGAGAAAACCTTTTTCTTTCCATTCACTTGCCCCTTTTCAGATTCTGCTACGTTCTCAATTATTCTTTTCTCGTGAATCATCTCATCTCAAGCATAGATTGCAAGATTGATTGATTGCTTTGAGTATATTTTTTTACTTTCTCGTAATTCTTAATTAAGATTGTTGCATGCATAATTCAATTGAATTTGATTTTTGTTCTTGAGTGTAAGATTGATCGATTGATTTCTTTTGCATTTGAGATTTAGATAAACTCGGTATAGTAATCTTAGTTCGTGCCTGTGATTCATGGTTTTAATTCGCTTTCGTTTTAATTGCTCTTGTTAATTGCTTTCGTTTTACTTTTAATTCATTTTCTTTTAATTCGTGTTCGTTTGCGTTATTGTGTTCATTTTAATCTGTGTTCGTTTTTGTTTTCAATTTGTTTTCAGGTTTTAATTTACTAATTTAATTCATTTTTCTGGGTTTTGTTTTCCACTTCATTTTTGTTTTCCATTCGCTTCATTTCATTTTTTTGGGTAAAATTATTTTTCATTTTCATCTTCATTTTTCTGTTATCCATTCATATTTTGTTTCGTTTGATTCAATTCAATTCCAATTTATGTTTCTCTTTAAATTCTTAAAAACCACAAAGTCCTCAATCTAACCACTGTTGCATGTTTAAAATTGAAAACAAAATGAATTTGTGTCCTTGTGAGATGACCTAGGTTTGCTCCCTATATTGCAAAACTATTTGAGGAATCTAGTTTTGTTTGAAACTATTACGATGTGGTTGTCATCGAAATTAGGTAGAGAAAGGACTGATGTTGTAATTAGAGCTTTCTTCAGTAAGGTAAATGCGAGTTCAGTTGCTTCTGTCCATGTGAACTTAGTATCTTTTTGTAGAAGCATTGTCAGAGAAGCTGTTATCTTCCCATAATTATTTATAAATCTCTTGTAGTGACCGAATAGTCCTAGGAAACCTCTCAATTCTTTCTGATTTCTAAGTCTTGACCAATTCTGAACTGCCTCAATTTTTGTAGAATTAGGTTCCACACCTTTTGATAAGATTAGACATCCTAAGTATTCAACTTTACTTTGTCTAAAACTACATTTCTTGTAATTGACAGCTAAACAATGCTTTTGTAAAATTTCCAAAGTTATCTTCAAACACCTGAGGTGTTCTTCCCATGTCTTGGTGTAAACTAAGATGTCATAAAAAAAACTAGGATAAATTTCCTCAAATATTCTCTGAAAATGTCATTCATCAAATTTTGAAACCTAACTAGGGCAATGCTCAAACCAAATGGGAGAACCACCCATTCGTAGTGGCCACTATGAGTTTTGAATGTTGTCTTATGTATGCCTGTCTCTGCCATTCTCACTTGATTATATCCACTTCTTCAATCCAACTTAGAAAAGTAACTAGCACCCTTCAGCTCATTTAACAAATCCTCAATTAGTGGCATAAGGAACTTATTCTTTACTATAAGTGCATTCAATTTTTGAAAATCAGTACAACATCTCCAAGAGTCATCCTTCTTCTTCACCAAGACTAAAGGAGAAGCATAACAGCTAGCACTTTCTCTAATAAAGTCTGTGGACAGTAGTTGCTTTACTTGTTTTTCAATTTCTTCCTTTTGATCATGTGGGTATCTGTAAGGTTTCAAACATATTGGTGCCTCACTGGTCAGTTTTATTTTGTGATCATATCTCCTTTTTGGAGGCAGTTGTGTAGGTTCCTTGAACAATTTTTGATGTTGCTGTAATAGGGCCTCTAATTCTGCTTGTTCTGCTATTGATAAATGACTTTTCTTGTCCTATGTTGAATTACTCTAGCAAGTAGGACCTTGTATTGCCAAAAGCATTGTTTGCCTAGGAATAGCTTTTAATTTTTCTTGTGTTTCCATTATGTCACTCAACTGTTGTTCTTCTTGTAACGTCATTGATTTACCTTGGTGCTGGAATGACATTGTCAATTGGGCACAATTCCAGTAGATTTCACCCAAGGTTTTCAACCATTGCATACTAAGGATGACACCAAAGTTGTTGCTTGGCAAGACCAAGAAATTTGCTATGAACATGTGGTCAGTAAATTTCCATGGTACCTGTGTGTAGTTTTGTGTGATTAATTGCTTGTCTGAAGATACCATTATAGGGAAGTTCTTAATATGAGTTGTTTTTAACCTAAGCACCTTCACCCACTTTTCACATATAAAATTATGGGTACTGCTTGTATCCATTAAAAAAGGAACCTCTTGTTTTTTAATCAACCCTTTTAACGGTAAGGTATTTCCACCAGCAACTCCTTGAAAGGCATTTAAGGAGATATGAACACTTTCATCTTGAATCAATCTATGCAAGCTCATTTTCTACTTCATTCTCATTGTCAGAATCTAGTCTATCTCAAAATTGCCTTGTGCTGCAAAAATAGCCCTTAATTTACCCAAACCTTACATTTTTGTTTATGATACCTATCCCACTTGTCACCACAGAAACGACATAGTCCTCTAGCTATTCTATCCCCTACTTCTTTTCTAGAAATAGTAGGTATAGATGTTACCTTTGATTCTCCTGCAGGTGAAGAATTTGTTGAAGATTGTGAATGACTTTGCTGCAGACTTGTGCAGACTTGTGATAGGTGTGCTATGAAAGTGTTATGTTGTGTTTGACCAAGCTTTTGAATATTGTAAATTTCTTTGACATTTCTTGAAGAATTTCATCTTGCAACCTTGCTACACGGATTGCTTCTTGAATTAATGAAGGTTTATGTACTCTGACAGATTTTTCTAACTTAAGTTTCAATCTAGAAAGAAAGAAACTCAAAGCTATCTCTTCTGACACAATGACACGAACCAACAAATTGTCAAACGCTTCCAGATTTTGTATCAAGGGCCCTTCTTGTTTTAGTTGTGCTAATTTAGCCACAGGATCATCGAAAGCTCCATCGTCAAAGTGATAACCCACATCCTGAAGGATTTGACTCCAACATTTGTTCTTGAAACTGTTTTCTGCACGTAATGTCTCTGCCACACGAATGTTTGTTCGTCCATTGAAAGCAACAATAAACGGCCACGTTGATCTTCTGGAGTGCCATCCAAATTAAAGAATTGTTCAACTTTAGCTCTCCAGTTGTGGAAGTTGGTTCCATTGAATGAAGGAAAATTAATTTGAGTTCTATCTAAAATTGAAGACGAAAATTCCAATGTCTCACTGTGAATTTCCATCCAGGCGCCCCGTTTTTTCTGGTGTTGAGCGCTACAACTAAAGCAATGAGGCTATCCATGGATATTCGTAACAACTTCAATGTGAACGTTTTCTCCAGTGAATCCATGCAGGACTCAAGTTCTTTGGTGGTCACCATTGTTATCAATACCTGCTAATACCAATTGTTAGAGAAAAATTTGGAAATCCCTCTCAAGACTCACACACTCTCCAATCACAAGGAAATAGGAAAGGAACACAATACTGATTTTCATTCATAATAATCAAATGATTACAAAAGGGTCTTTTTATAATCTCTAATTTCTTATAACTACTTTTCCGTCATATGACTAACTCTCTTGACACGCTAATTAACCTTTAAAACGATTATTTTCTATTCCTACTTCTCTAATTTTCAAAATATTACAATTAAATCCTCTATTTTTCTACTTATAACACTTTTTATCATTGTTTTTCCAAAAACATCAAAATGCAATTTTTATGTTCCAGATCCATTTAAAAGAGTAAATGGCTAACATTTCTCTTTCATTTAATTTTATTTCTCACCACTAATCCAAACAAAGTCTATGAATGAGGTTTAGTGCCATTACTCCGCAAATTTGTTCATTTGGCTGCTATTAGTTCAATTCTATTATTGTGAGTGTCCCAAGCACTTTCCTTTTCATAACTGGGGTTTTCATGCTTACCTTTTCAATTCTAGATGTTCATGTTCGTGTGTGGGAAAATTGCGATTGCTTAATACGGTAGACAGCCAGACAAGTTATCCATTAAACTACTTGTGGGTCTAGGATTTTCACCAATCACATGACTAGAAGCTTGATATGTCTTTTCAACAAGAAGTAGCACGAGATATCCCTATCATCACAAAAATAATTGTTGTTGTTGGGCACGTTTGTGGAAAGATGGTGCGGTCCATATGCTTCTCTGCTCAATGATTTTGCGTTCTCTAGGCTTTATGCCAAGAAGAAAGACGCTGTCAACTCTGGCTTATCTCAACACCCTTGTCTAATGAGTAATAATTGCCAATATTCATTAAACCTGAAACCGTACCATTATTCATTTTGTTCACACAACATCTCCCATAGTTGTCCCTAAAGGCAGGCTTTTAGATTCGCGAGAGCCAGACTGTCCTTACAGCATATTTTTCTTTAGTTAGTGCTAACTTATGTGGTGTAACTAGGTTAGAGGTATTTCATGTGTTTTAACGCTCAACGATATAAAATAAGAATACATGTATAAGTAAGTTTTTAATTAAAAATAATAAAATATCATAAAATTTAATAAATTAGTAATATTAAATATTATAATTTTGAACAAGAATTACTGTTTCTTGATTCTTAACGAATGTTTTTGAACACGTTATTTTAACTGTTTAACTTAAAAACTATGGAAATAGAAAGATGAAAAAAACATAAATATTAACCAATGTGGAATTGCCATCAGATATAAATATTAATCTACACAAATAATTTATCATTTGAATAGAGAAAAAAATATAAATGAAATTAATCTAGTTATTAATTTGGTGGCTACGAAGAAGATGGTGATTCAGTTAGAGGTTCACAAGATCTTGATAAGCTTGAACAGTGAACCGCTGCTTTTGGATTTGTGACACCTCCTTTATGTAGAAAATTTGATTTGTCTAAATCCACATTTTCGTGCCTAATCTCCTTGAGCATTGCTGTGACATCTTTCATTGATGGTCTTTCATGTGGGGATGGATTCACACAGAGGAGAGCCACCCCTAGTACTTGAAGCATCTCAGGGATTTGTGTTCCACATTGCAATGCTAGTTTCTGGTCCAAAATTGATGTAAATTCTCTTTTCTTCTCTCGGATTTCACTGATAACCCAAGTGACAATGTGGGAACCCTCCGGAATCCTGTTAGCAATTGGCTCCATCCCTGTTAAGACCTCAATGAGCACTACACCAAAACTGTACACATCACTCTTCTCTGTGATCCTTAAACTGTATCCATATTCTGCAATTAGATACACAATGCTGTGATCAGTCACTGTCACAATTACTAAAAAGAGCTTTGCTATATCCTGTTAATGATCTTCCTGGTAATCCTTCTACTACTTTATAAAAGTAAGTATTAAATGAAAAAGTGCATACATGTTTGGTAATTAGGAGGATTTGTAGGCATAAAAATAGTCTTACCAAAAAATTTCTTATGTACTTTCAGAGTAATACACCAAGTCTATAAAAATATTATATGTGACACTCAAATTGAATCCGTGCTATAAGAGTTACTTTATAATAAATCAAGGCAGTTGAGTGTATTGCTTAAAGAGTGCACAATAATTTTTGGTGAGATAGAATAACCACCCAAATGGACATAAAATATAAAATGAAGAGAAAGAAGAAAAGATATTGAAAGTGGACTACTTTAATCTGGTTTCATTAAACTAATGCAAAAATGAACAATCTGGTCGTGGAACATTAAGTCTGAACAGATTGACTTTTGAAGTGGGTCATTCTGACAAAAATCTTTGATGTGAGACTAAAAAGTTTTGCTAATTTGACACTAAAATATATGAACTAGCTGTAAGAAAGTCAAGGTATATATATACTCACCAGGAGCTATGTATCCATAAGAACCTGCAACTATAGCCGAGGGTCCTGAGTATTCTGAGGAACCTACAAGTTTTGCGAGGCCAAAATCTGCAAGAAAAGCTTCAAATTGTGGACCTACCAAAATGTTGTTAGCCTTAATATCTCGATGAATGATTGGAGGAGTACAATCATGATGAAGATATTCTAAGCCCTGAGCTGCTCCCAGTATGATCTTGTATCTTGCATCCCAGTCCAAGAACAGTCTACTTTCATGGAGCAATCCAGACAAACTCCCATTACATATGTAATCAAACAAGAGCAATCTAGTTCTTCCATTGTTGTAGCATCCTAAAAGTCTAACTATATTTTTATGCCTTATTGATCCAAGGGTATGCACTTCTGCAGAAAAAAGATCTCTCTCGGGTAACTCATCATTCTTTGGTGGCCATAGTTTCTTCACTGCAACAACCTGTTTCATTGGAGTCTCCACGCGGTAAACGATTCCTGAGCAACCCTTTCCTACAATGTTTGAATCTGATAACTTTGTGACAATGTCATTGATGGAGAAGTTGAGTTTTTGAAATGGAGTAAAAGCCCATTGCATTTCACTGTCAAAGTTAGTACCCCCTTGAATTCTGAGAGCTAAGATCACTCCAAAAGTGACAAACCCTGAAGTTAAAATAACACCAAGGAAAGTGCATATAATAATATTTCTTATTGACTGGATGCCTTGGTGATGTTCTCTTACTTGACACTTGTTAATACATAGGTCAGGGTTGCCAGCATATGCAGCAGGAGGGAGATCCTTGAAGAATTTTGTATCAGGAAGAGAACCAGAAAAAATGTTGTAGGACACATTAAGAGACACTAGATTGTCAAGACTACCCAGTACTGCGAGGCTTCCTGTGAGCATGTTGTGAGAAAGGTCCAAGTTGGAAAGTTTTGAGAGGTTCGAGAAGGTTTCTGGGATGGGGCCTGTTAAAGAATTCCAACTAAAGTTCAAGAGGATATCTAATTCTTGCAAGTGACCAATTTCATCAGGAATGGACCCAGAGATCCTATTGTTGCTTATGTCAAGCAACTGCAAAGCCTTACAAAGGCCCAGTGAGTGAGGGATCAAACCAGTGATATGGTTTTCACTGAGTATCAATTTATTTAGAGATGTAAGCTTGCCCAAATTTTCAGGAATGTTTCCAGTTATTCTGTTTGCAGATAGATCCAAGACATTAAGAACAGCTAGAAATTCTAATGAGGAAGGAATCGGTCCTTGCAGCTGATTGCTGTGCAAGTCAAGCATTTCTAGCTTAGCACAGTTACCTATCTTGGAGGGTATCTCTCCGCTGAGTAGATTATCTGATAATTCAAGAAAACTCAAACTGCTTAAAAGGCCTATTTCTGGTGGAATTTGACCAGTGAAGTTGTTTGATCCCAGCCTTAACCTAATCAAGCTAGTGCAGCTGCCAATATCTGGAGGAACTGGACCTGAAAGTCTATTTGACAACAACAATAATTGAGTTAAATTCTCTAGATGAAAGAGTGATCTTGGGATGGACCCGGTGAGGAAATTATGTGAAAGATCAAGTGCTTGAAGTTTCTCACAGTTGGAGAGTTGTGTTGGTATGCTTCCATGGAGCTGATTCTGCCAGGCATAGAACAAGGTGAGTTCTTTCAGTTGCCCCAAGACAGGTGGAATCTCCCCAGAGAATCTGTTGTTATCCAATTCCAGTTGCTTCATGCTGGTGAAGTTGCCAATATAGGAAGGTATCTCTCCAGAGATGTTATTATTAGACAAAAGAAGCTCCTCCAATGAGATTAGACTCCTGAGAGTCACTGGAAGTTCACCAACCAGAGAATTCAAAGAAAAGTCTATGACTTTCAGGTTTGTACAGTTGCCTAGACCTTCTGGAATTGTTCCAGTAAAATTATTCTGCCATAGCAATACCTTTCTGAGGCTTTTCAGGGAACCTAATTCATTAGGAATATTTCCAGAAAGCTGGTTTTCATAGAGAAACAATTCCTCCAAGGCTGAACAGTTTTGAATCTCTGGTGGTATGTGACCTGTGAGGTGTGCAGTATAGATTTGAAGTGTCTTGAGACTTGTAAGTTCTCCTATACTTGGTGGAATCTCCCCTGATATCCCAGTATCTGCAAGGCCTAGATAAACTAGAGCCTTGCAATTTGATATCTGCATTGGAATCTCACCATGAATACCCGGGTTTCCACCGGCACGGAGCGTTTCAAGGTCCCTCAAGAGGCCTATTTCTCCCGGAATCATGCCAGAGAGTTGGTTATCAAACAGTTCAAGCAGCTGAAGTTTTGAACAGTTTCCAATTTGGGTAGGAATTCCACCATGTAATGAGTTTGAATTCAAAGATAACCACTTCAATTTGTATAATTTTCCTATTTCAGTTGGAATGGTTCCTGACAAAGCATTACAGCTAAGGTCTAAGGTAACCAAAGATGACAAGTTTCCTACAGCACCAGGAATCTCACCAGTGAGATTTGCTTTTGAGATGACTAGAGTGGTAAGGTTGCCAAAAGAAAGGAGCTGTATAGGGAAGCTGGTGCCAAGATCAAGTGATGTTATTATAATCTCTGAAACAAGTCCTTCTTTGGAACATTTTATGTAATCCCATTTGCATGGATTTTTGTGGGTTGGATCCCATGAAGAAAATGAAGTAGCAGAATTAGAGGAATTGAATGTTGAGAGCCATGAAAGTAGAGAGACACCTTCCTGGTTCATAGCAGAGGTGGCTGGAAATAAGGAAAAATTCAGAACCAAGATAAGAAGAGTTAATGCATTACTTGACATGATGAGCTCTGTGTTCTACTGCTCTTCTTCAATCTCATTCAAACATTACAGCACCAGTTTCTCAAAGTTACTCTTTATGTCCTCTTTATTACGTGTGTTGGATCCTGGATACAGAAATTCCCATTTCTTCATATAAAGTTATTGATAAAGATGTAGACTGTTCCTTTATTCTTCTTCCTCAAACACTATTTTTCACTGTTTACAGCAGTTTGTAGTAGATTTATAGAGGAATAAAAACATACAAATTTGAAACATTATTCAAAGAGATGGATAAAGCTTTTGTGCCAATGTTGAAGTCAAATGTTGTCTATTTGACTAAATTTTTAACCATTTATTGCAGTAACTTTAACAGTGAAACTATTAAAAAAATATACAAGCAAGTTGCGCACTAAATTGCTAACCAGATACCAATGATACCTAATAAAGTTTTTCGTACACGATTCAGCAGAACATATTATTGTAGCTGTAGCATACAACATATAAGTGAAAGGATATCGATTGTGAAAATGACTACATTGGCTGTTTAGTGTCTTATGGGTCATGTGCACATGCTGCTATTTGGAGTAAGATACTTAGTTGGACAATATAAAAGCTCAAAATTATCTAGTTTTGCAGAACATTCTTATGGTGGATTAACATGCATGGGGGTACTCTGAGGTCCCTTTTTCATTCCATGTGTAATCAGCAACGCAGAAGGAATAAGAACTCAAGTATGGTTTACATATGTTTTATGTTTTGTAATATATATAAAGATTTTTTAAATTAGTCTCTTGTAAAATTTTATTCATTTTTTTTTTAAAAAATTACAAAAAAAATGTTTTTTTGTCTAATGAGCTATTAAAATTATATATTAATTTTTTCAAAATTAATGGTTAAAAATAAAAAGTAAATAAAGATTAAAACCAAAAATGACATATTTTCAAAAAATAAAATTTAATCATACCACAACTGTATAAAAATTTCAATGACTGTTCAAGTATGTGTAGAAACATAAATATAAAAATTTCAATGACTGATCTTTTGATAACACAAATTATTTGGAGAACGAATTTAGTGTTCATTTTTATCAATTATGGAGCTCTAGATTTTAGATAGGTTTTCTGCTCAGGGTGCAAACGTGCTAAATGATCACATATAACGTATGCAAAAAGATGGTAGAGTATAAGTTGATATTCTTTTAGCAAAAATATAATTTTAATCATTTTTTATCTTCATATTTTTCATTGTTTTAAAATAGTCCTTGAACTTCTTGACTGATAATGTGACATGTATACGTCCACAATGTTAGTAATTGTTATAAAATGACACCACTATTTGCAGGTTACGTCAATAACACCAATTATTATTATTATTTTAATTTACAATGATAAAAATTAATAAAAAAATTAACAAATTCAAAACTACATAAAATCATATTTATGAGGCATAAAACTATACTTTAGTTTCTTTCTACTTTTTCATAATATTTTTATTTACTGCATCTTCTCTTGGTTTTTCTTCTGTGGCAATGATTTTCTTATACTAAGAAAAAGTACTCGCAAAATAATACTTTGTGAAGAACATGATAGGAGTTCGGCAATCCCATTTCGTCCCTACCATTTTAGGTGCAAATGACAGCAGCAGCTGTGAATTTCCCAAAGCCATCATAATGATGGTTCATCTAATTTGGCATAACAATCCAAGTACTGAGATGGACCAAGCAGCACCCAATAGGCAAACAACAAACACATATATAAAAATAAAGGGATAGACACAAAGCCTCAACCTTTTCTATTATTTTTGCATGGTGAGGTCTCAAAATCACCTTGTATTTGATTAAGTTGTTTCTTATCATGAAAGTGAGCTAGTGAGGGAATATATATAGGTGCATACATGCTTTTCCTCCGATGCATGACCTTTCTCCATTTCCAAATTTTAGTGATATAGATCCTTACCTTTTGGAGAAATCATTATTTTAATTAATGACATGTTATATCAATTATTAGAATAATTTTGGGGGAAAATGAAAATTTAAAAAGATGATAAGAAATTAATTATTACTACTTAATTATTATTATGTGACAATTTTCATTGTATGATAAATTGGAAATTGAAATAACAAAAGAGAACAGCAAAGAAAACTTTTACATGAAGAGAAAGCAGACAGACAGAAAAGTTTAGAAGACAGAAAATGATTTGCCAGTCTTGAAGGATGTTGAGTGATTTGGGGACGAAACAAGTCGGGTATCTGTTTGTCAAGGTCATGAATGGTTAAGATAAGTGGTGGATTTGGAAGGTAGGGGACAAGTGATTCCCCAACCACAACTAGATGTTAGTGACATATAATTTTACAATAACCATCGCTCATTGGTTCTTCTACCAAAGTCCTTATAAGGATTAACTTCATATTCTTTTTACTTTACCCAAGCTAAATGTAAGTGGTTTTTTTCAATATGAGAAAAGATGAAGAAATTATCAAAACATAGTGTTTTGAGAAAATTTATGAAAATATAGAAATTTTTAAAAATTATTAGTAGCGATTTTTTTTATATTTTTTGGGCATTTTATAATTTTATTTTTTTTAATTATTACTGACAATTTTTTATTTTTATAAATTTTTTATTTTTTAAAAAAAATCTCTGGTTGACAATATTAAAATTTGATAAATTTTTATTTAAATTGTCAGATTTTTTAATTTTATATTTCTGTAATTCTTTTAAAAATACTATATTTTAGTATATATATTTTTCAAATCTCATATATAAAAAAATTAAACCTATTATAGTTATATAATATTTTTATACAACTTATTTTACTACGGAAAGATGAATATGGAAAAAATAGTGTGTGATGAATTGTTAAAGACAAAATGTTATTGAAAATGTAAAAAAATATTGTACTTGTAATTTGAGTTTAAATATATTTTTAGTTTTAAATTCTTTTTATCAAGTTGGATTTTAATTTTCTTAAAATAAAATATAAGATTGATAGATTAAACTATTGAATCACTATATATTATTTTTATGATTTAGAAATGTATATATAACATGTTATTCAAAAATTAATATTTATTTATATTTTAAAAACATGTTATATATTAAAATAAAGCAATGTGATAAAATATTTAATTATTTTATTTTATATAAATTTTTATAAAGGTGATTTATTTAATAAAAACCTTTAAAATAATATTTATATCGGTTAATTTTGTATTTTTTTTAAAATTATTAAAATATATAAGTATTTAATTTGACACTTGATGTTAATAAATTCTCTTTTTATATATTCCATGAGAGAAGAATTTTTACATGAGAATAAAAAGTATAAATTTAAACTTTATAACTATACATAAATGATCATCACATGATCATTTGAAAAGATCACATAATTTTTTATGGCAAAATTATACTTTTCGTCCTTTTAACTTTAGAGTAAAATTCATTTCCATTCTCTAATTTTTTATTTATTTTTATTCATTCTCGTCCTTAAAGTATTTTTTTTTTCCACATTAGTCCTGTCCGTTAACTCTGTTACATAATCTAACAAAAATGTCCTATGTGGCGCTGACATAACATTAACGGTGTTTATTTAATTCAATCTGAAATTTTTTAATTTAAAAAATAATTAAAAATAGTAAAATGGGCTGAGTTGTAACTTCCCCTCCCCTTCCTCCTCTAGCAACTCTTTTTTCTTTTCGGCAGTCTCTCTCCCCTTCCACAATCTCTCTTTCTCCTCCCTGCAACTTCCCCTTTCCCTCCCTGCAGCCTCTCTCCCTTCCCCTTCCTTCTCTCGCTATTCCATCACCCCTTTCCACTAAACCCAGGAGCTCTATTTTCCTCTCGGTCTTGTCTCCTCCTTCCTGCAGTCCCACTCCCTTTCCTCTTCCGCAGCTCTCCCATCTCTTTCCCCAACCCATCAACCTTTTTTCCTCCTCCTCGCAGTCCTCCTCCCCTCCCTTTTTTCCTCTGCAATTTCCTCTACCCCTTCCCACAACCCACTAACCTTGTCGCCTCTTTCTCTCATCCCCCTTCCTCTCCCCTTCCTTACTGCTAACACTGTTTATGGCGAGAAAAAGTTATAATATAAATTTTTGGTGGGTTTTTTAGTTATCATTTCACTTGAAAGAATTTCTCAAGTTTAACCTCTTAATTATCATTTTTGGCTATAAAAAAAGGTCTACCCATTATGCTGGAAAACATACTCATCTTACACTTGCAACCTTATCTCTCTCCTTTCTCCCAACTAAATGGAAAATTATCTCCAAAATTTTATTCCAAACATCCACTGAATCACTTGGTTTATAGAATAAATTAGCAAAGTATCAACCCATGTCCAATTATTAATTATAAATTTGATTTACAAAATACATCCATTATGTTCCCTCTCTCTGAGTTTAAACCTGCAACTTTTTATTCTATTGCTTATTGGGTTATTTCATATTTACATCAAACTCCAAATTTCATTACTTTTTATGTATAATTCTTTAATTTTTTGTGAAATATGAATCTCCTGTTATTTTGTTGTTTATTTGTGTTGCTGATAATACTTCACTTGCGGGAAGGAAAAACGGAGGCTACGGGATGGAGAAATAAGGTTGGTGGATTGGGGAAAAAATGTGTCGAAGCTATAAAAGAGGAGAGGGAATGTTGTGAGAAGGAAAAAGGGGCTGCAAGAGGGGGAGGTAGGGCTGGTGGGTTGGGGATTTTGGAGGAAAGAGGTTGGGGAGCTACGGAAAGATGAAGGAGGAGAGAGAGAGTTTTATTTTTTAATTATTTTTTAAATAAAAAAGTTCACGTATAATTAAACAAATAATATTAAGACATTTCAGTGTCACGTAGGACGTTTCTGTTATATTATGTAAAAGAGCTAACGAAGATGACTAACATGGAAAAAAAATAATATTTCAAGGAAAAAATGAATAAAAAAAAAATTAGAGGAAGAAAGTGAATTACATCCTAAAGTTAAGGGACAAAAAGTGTAATTTTGCCATTTTTAAAAAATTCTCATGATTTATATGTTTAATCTTCACCATTCATAATAAAATTTAACGATAAAAATTTGTTCTTCTAACTTTCACATTAAA